AGTTAATAAAAAAGTTATCCAAAAATGAACCCAACTACATTAATTAAACAAGTGTACAACTATTGTAATTTGCATCTTAATATTAAAACGAAAAACATCTTAGAGTATTTTGTTGCCTTTAATCACCCGAAAGAACGATCAAACGTGGCAAAGTGGAAGAACAATGAGCCAAAGGCTCATAAGCCTGAATCAGGCAGAAAATCAAAAATTATGACTACTAGGAACATCAATCACCTGAAAGGTCTTTTGAACAACCGGTCTGGAACTTCAATAAGAAAAATTGTAAATAAGTTTAAGTGTGATCATTCCTGAATTTAAAAAAAAAACATTAAAAAACAAAACAAAAATTTGTTATTTTAGGAAAAAACAAATTCCTGATTGCACTGATAAACAGTAAAAGCAGTTGCAACTGAATTGTGGAAGAATTTGTTGTAAATTCAGAAACCATGACTTTGTCATTGACGATGAGTCTTATTTTACATGTAAGATTACGAATAAAAATTCTAAAGCTGGATTTTACTCAGATGAAGCAAAAACTGCACCAAAAAATGTAAAATATAAACGCAAAAGCAAATTTGAATAAAAAGTTCTTGTATGGATTGACATATCCCTCACTCACTATACGTTTAGATTTCAGTGCAGATTAAATCTAATTCATTGATATTAATAGGATATCTTACAAGATATGGTTATGAGAATATTATGCAATCTTTTAATTATATCACAATCAACTTTAGTAATTTCAGAAAAAACTTCATTATTTTTAAATACTCTTTTGGCAGTGTTGCTGTCATTTGTATTTCCAGACCCAGTTTTAGGCATATCAAAGTATAGGCTTAACCGTTCTCTGAAGAGTACCTGAATCTTTTTTTTTTTTTAAGTCTGCAGATAATTTTTCCTCAACTGTTTTTGGCTTATACTTTTTAATTTCAATTTTATAACTCAAATGAAGAATAAATTTGAAATTCCGAGTCCCAAGGCCAAATAAAGTTGAAATTCCGAGCCCCAAGGCCGACTCGTTCTCAATTTTTGCTTTTAATAGATCAATATTGTTCATTTTGTTGGGTTTAGTATTACACACATTGCAGGATTGAGTGGATTTTGTCTCTGTAAGTGCGCTAACTACTTTATTATCAAACATTGTCAGATCAATCCTATAGCTGATATTAAATGTCAAAATTTTTCCTGCAATAATAAAAACTTTGCAAAACGTCTTTAAGGTATTTATTTGATTTTTTAGATCTGATTCTTCTTCTCTGGATAAAATTGGACTCTCATTTTTATATTGTAGATGAAGAGGTCTACAAAATTGACAGCTTGAAAGATTTTCTTTTTTCCCAATTTCACCATCTTCTTCTCTGAGCAATATAGGCACAAAAGCTGTACTGAAAAGATTTTCTTCATGCTTAAGTTCTATACTTGCATTGCTTGTATTGTATTTCTGTTTATAAATACTTTGGCTTGATGCTCCATCAAAACCAATCTTTCCACATAAAACTTTAAATATTTCATCACTTTGACCAAATTTAGGCATATCAATCATTTCTGTTATTCTACTTACAGTGTGATCTAACATGCTTTGAACAGCACACTTTGCAGAAATTTCAGAAAATTGTATATTCTCAGGAAACTATTTCAATTTTTTCACGAAAATATCGAGTAATTTAGGGTAAATATGTACATTTTGTACAAGAGCTGAGTTTCTGATCTTTACAAATTTCTTCAGTATTTTTTATTTCATTAAGTAAATCCTTCCATAATTTTAATTTATAAACTCCTAATCCACGTATATTTGGGATAAGATCTAATCTTTTCATTGCTATCGTTTTTAAGAACTATCAATATAATAAAACTAAATATATCAGAAACATTTTAAATTACATTACATATTTTTTTTACTTTATAGTATAAAGTGAAACTTTATAGTACAAACTTTATAGTACAATGTGAAAATTGTTAAAAGTCATAACAAAATAAAATTTGAAACAGTATAAATTATACTGTTTCAAATTTTATTTTGTTATGACTTTTAACAATTTTCACATTGTTACATCCTGCAATAACATATATTACTTAGTGAACTTTATATTAAAGGAAATACTAAAGTTGTTCAATTAAGCTTTTTCAAACATATTGTACTTATCGAATAATAAATTGTTCTTTAAAATTATCAATAAATATTTTAACAAACTTCTAAATAGTATATAATGACAAAAGCACGTTTTTTAAAACTATATTTAATATTTATGATTTAAAAATTATATTAGAACAAATCTTTTATGCAAAAAACTTAGATTTAAGTTTCCCGCCAATTTCATTTGTTTTGATATAATACAGTTCTTAGGAAAATGACGGA